AAGTGAGGGGAGGGGAAGTTGGCACCTGATGTATAAAGTGAGGACAGGACCACTCCAAGGTATAATTAAGGGGAAGGTTTTTATTTAGATATGGGGGAGAGTACAGCCAGAGGCATCTGGAAGAGTCTAGAGCAGAGGGAAAAGTAGGAGACTGAGCATGGCCAGCAGGATGGACTGGGCCATGAGGGGGTTTGGGGGAGAAGAGAACCAAGAGAGGGGGGCAAGAGAGAGAACTGGGCAAGAGAGAGAACTAGGAGAGAGCCAAGAGAGCACAAGGTCAAAATGGGCAGGGTTGTATAGGAATGAGGAGCTGGGGGAAGAGAAGCCCAGGAGCTAGAGGAGGTTTTTGGGGGGCGGGCCAGGATGAGAAGAGCTGAGAACAGCCAGAGGTACCGAGTGAGCCTGGAGCCAGCAGCAGACATTCTCTATGCTGATAGTCACCACAGTTAGTCATTTGTCCCAAATTTCTTTTGGACCTGACAGATAGGACATGCCTCATAGTTTTACTCTTGACTACAATAGGTATAATAGCAATGGCTGTGGTTCTGACGGGTCCTTACTCAGAGGAGATGCACGCAGAAGGGCTTAGAGTGTTATCAGGGCATGAGGAAAAGCTAACCTCCGTCTATCTCTAAAAATGGAGGTCTTCTTGGAACACAGCCACATGCATATGGTATGAAGTGACTGTTGTACTACAATACAAACTGAGTTGTGCCACATAGATGGCATGGCCCCCGGTAGCCTAGAATACTATGTGGCAATGTTCAGAAAGTACTTAGCGGACACTTGAGTTAGAGTATCATTGCCTATGCAACCTTCTTTTAAGTTGTTTAGCAAAACAATGACAAAAAGATGCCCAAAACTACATATAAATATGTGTATCTGCATATGTATATATATGCACATACACATATGTGTCTATGTATATACATGTGTTTATATATGTGTATACTTATGTATAGAGATGTGTACAGGTATATGTGTACTCAGTTTTTACCAGGGTTCAGAAAAATGTATAGGTTTATGGAAGTTCCTGAGACTGTTTGGGACTAGGAAACCATTGATCTTACAAGTGTGTAAGTAAGAAAAAATTAACAAAGACAAAAGTGGCTTTGGATCACAAGAGAAACAACATATTCCCGAAGAATATCCCAAGCCTGAATATTTTTTAAAATGTCCATTTTCCACAAACACAGATACAGCGTGATACAATCCCAGTACAAATCTCCATGAACTGTTATTTGAGGGGAAAAACAGTAAAAAAAAAAAAAAATAGTTTAAAAGTTCTGCTGGTAGAAGAAAAAATATAAATGAGGTTATTTGCCAAAAACATTTTGAAAATAAAGCAAAATGATGGGGTTCTTACCTAAATAGATGCTAAAAAAATTATTTTAACGCTATAATAATCAAAAATTATTCTGGTCTGGGAATAATAAATCATAGCGGGAAACTGAAGAGATCTGGGGCAAGTAAAGAGAAAACCCCAGCCAAGACAGCAGACAAAGGGAGAGGGGGAGGCGCAACCACTGCGGTAACGCCAGAGTAGCTGGGAAAAAAAATACAGTCAGAGCACGATACTATACACTCTCCCAAGATGGAGAAAAATTAAATACAGAGAAACAAGAGCATGAAAGGTATAAAAAACAAATGTAGGGAAACTTTCTGGGCCTAAAATAAATGATAAAGAAAAAGATTAATGAGCTTGGCTCACAAACGTTTTGAGCTTCTATACATCCGAAAATATGATAACCAAAACTAAGAAAAGCAATAGCTGCTGAGGAACGGATCTCAACTTCCTCACTACGCTATTGCTAGGGAGGAAGGAACAGGTTTTAAAATGGGCAGATGATGTAAAGACACTGACAAGTAAAACTCAAAGCATAACTCCTTCCAAAGCTGCGCATGGAGAGACCAGACCAAACTCCAGCTTAGCTTCCAGCTCCTAAGATCATGTCCCCGGGATGAATCCGGACCCACTCAAGGGGCCTGATTGAGAAAGCTTGGTGATGCCAGAAAAATGTGCAATGTGGTCTAGCCTGCACCTGACGGCTGTCTGTGCTTACAGCACTCCTTACAGGGAACTTGCAGCTGTGATGACATCTCTTTCAACTCAGAAGCATGTGTCTGGATGCCCAGAGAGCTTTGGCACTGTAATCACCAGCAGGAAGGGCTCCTTCCCCCAGCTTCTGAAGGAGGACAGATGCCCCACTTCACCAACTGCCTGGCCTAGGGAACTCAGCATCTCATTAGACACTGACCTGCTTCTAGGTTCTTTCCTCCTCTAACCCTGCTCTCCCCTGCCCTGCCCTCCAGTGCGCAGTCCCACAAATCACCACAAATGTTGAGGGATCGCAGCTCTCTCCCGCACTGTCAGTAGCCACCAAAAAGAAAAATCTTTTGTGTTTTGTGTTTTTGGCAAATGATGAATATGAAACCCAGGGCCTTGTACATACTGTATTTGCAGCCTCATCTCTGTTTTCCTGCCTTGACTAATGTCCAGCTGTGTTTGATTTCAACAATACAATGTACAAAACAGTACAATGTAGGAATTGAATGTGATTTTTTTGGTTTGTTTTCTGCTTATCTGTATTTGTGTGTGTGTTTTCTAATAAATAAATGTATTGCGCCTATAATGAAAAAGAATGTTTTCAGGTGATTTAAGCTTCCTACCTGCTGTAGTTTCCTTTCTGTTGCTATGATAAAAATACCCTGACAAAAACAACTCAGGAGGAAAGGGGTGATTCTAGCTCACAACTGTAGGTTGCAGTTCATCACAGTGGGAACTCAAAGCAGCTGGTCACGAGCAGAGAGAATGGATGCCTACATGCCTACACTCAACTCACCTTCTCTTTTCTACAGTCCAGGGTCCAAGTCCTGGGTCCAAGCCCAGGGCACAGTGCTCCAAATTTTAGGCTAAGTCTTCACACATCAATTAATGTAATCAAGATAATCCCCCACAGATAGGTGAATGAGCCAACTAATTTAGACAGTTCCTCATGAACACTCCCTTCCCAGGTGATTCTAGACTGTGTCAAGCTGACAATTAAAACCAACCATCACACTACCAGAGAACAGGGAAATTAATTTACCAATTCCAAAACCCTATAGATCTAACACCACATGTCCAGACATTCCTAGGTCAAAAACGTACTTATGTCCTCTCTCTAAATCTTCATAAAAAATAAAAGGCTTTCCAAGCCTGCTGGCAAAAATTTGCAATCCTAAGACTCAAAGGGCAGAGGTAAGTGAATCTTTGGGAGTTCAAGGTCAGCCAGGGCTACCTAGTGAGACCCTGACAAAACAAACAAATCCAAAGTAGACTATTCTTCCTACCATTTTACCAAAAGCAAGTCAATAACTCAAAGAAATTTAGCAAATGTACAGGCTGTCTTTGTGTGTCATCTTCCCACAAGCCAGAATCATCACAGAGGAAGGAGCCTAGGAGACAAGCTATGTGGGCTGCAGAGGGCAGAGCCAGAGAAGTGACCCAAGCCCTTTGGAGTAGTCCAGAAGATTGTGATTGGATCCCAGATGGTAAGAATTTGGTCTTGCTTTGATGTGACTGTGATCTGATTTTTCCCTCTTGAAGTAAGAAAGTATTTTACTGGAGCCCACAGTTGAGAGACTTTGAATTTAAAAAGACTTTGGATTTTTAAGAGATTGGCTGTTTTAAAGGGGTTGAATTTTTAAGGTGTTTGAATTTGTAAAGACTGTGGAACTTTTAAAGTTATTTATGTTTTTAATGTGAGATTTTGTGGAAAAGTAAGAAAGGAAGGAGTGTGATATTTGTGTGATGTGTTTGTGTGTCCTGTTGACAAGGGGTCAGTTGTACTAGCTGATTTTGTGTGTCAACTTGATACAAGCTAGTCATCAGAGATGAAGGAGCCTCAGTTAAGGAAAAGCCCCCATGAAATAATGCATTTTCTCAATTAGTGATCAATGAGGGTAGTGCCATCCCTAGGCTGGTAGGCCTGGATTCTGGAAGAAAGCAGGCTGAGCAAACCATGGGAAGAAAGCCAGTAAGCAGCATCCCTCCATGGCTACTGCATCAGCTTCTGTCTCCAGGTTCCTGCCTTGCTTGAGTTCCTGTTCTTACTTCCTTCGATGATAAACAGCAATGTGGAAGTGTAAGCTTATAATAAGGCTTGTAGACAGGCCCATAGGGTCAAGGAAATTGGCTCAAACCAGTTGCCAAGGCATGCATATAAGGTACTTCCTTATGAGCCAACCAACCTGGAGTCAGCCTGAAGGTCTAACAACAGGTGCTGTCAGAGTTCCTGATCATGCAGAGTCTACCTGAGGGCCTAGCAACAGGTGCTGTCAGAGTTCCTGATCATGCCCAGCCAATGAAAGATGACCATGCAATGCCACCAGATTGTGACACCGACTGGGTGCTGGGAGGAGTGTATAAGGCCTTCCCCATTATTAAATAAAGAAGTTTATTGTTTGCCTTCAACTGACTCCCAGTATCTGTGCCATTGATGCCACATCTTCTCACCCTTTCCCCCGAGGGAACTGTTAGAATCCAGCAACATAAACTGGATTCTAACCAACCTCTTTTTGGTCATGGTGTTTTGTTGCAGCAGTAGAAACCCTAACTATGACAGAAATTATCTCAGAGTCATAAAGCAGTCAGTAGTAGAACTGGAAGTGAATTCCAGCTGATCTGGTCATACGTTCCTGGCGCCTCATTTCATAACATGCTCAGATTGGGATGAAGAAGGCCAATATTCTGTTCCTAACTCTATACACAACCACTATTATGTGTGGCCTTGGCAATTCCTTTTCCTTGTCTGGCCCTTACTTCCTCATCTATACAACAAGAAGGAGATGGGCCTAAGGGGTGTCAACTTCCTTCCTGCTCAGGTATGCCAGATTTCTGTCTTATCACATACCCCAGGCCAACCAATGGCCAAGAACTGATTCCAACCAGATAGTGGCCACATCAAACTTGGAGGCAAGAGCAGGTGCCCCTCACAGGTGCCCGTGCACTATCCCACCTTGAATTCCTCATGTATACGTTCCTCCAGGATTTTGGCAGCCTTGCGGTCCTCCATCTCCACTTTCCACCTCTCTGCTAGGATCCGGGCTTTCTCATTGGCCAAGGCATCCCGGAACTTCTTGGTGATCTCTGCTTCCTTCTGTTTCCTTCCAAGAAAGCAGCAGCAGGGGTGAGCTTAAGTGAAAAACTAGAAGAGCATGACACAATGCAACTTCAAGTAAAAGCAATGAGCAGCCTTCCCTTGGTACACAGAACAGCAAACACATTTTGCTAAGATTACCAGAGCTCACAATGGCAAAGGAAGGAGGAGGTGACACTCATGTAGAGAAGGAAGGGTAAACCAGCAAGATCATTCTGGAAGCTCAGAAACAAGAAGTGAAAATCCCATTTCTCATTCAAGTAGCTGAAGGTGAATATAGTAGATGTTCAGCAGAGTTTTATGAAAAGAAATGATGAGCCACGCAGTCGTGGCGCATGCCTTTAAACCCAGCACTTGGGAGGCAGAAGCAAGCGGATCTCTGTGAGTTCAAGGCTAGTTTGGTTTATAGAGTGAGATTCAGGACAGGCACCAAAACTACACAGAGAAACCCTGTCTTGAAAAAAAAAGAAGGAAGAGAGAGAGAGAGAGAGAGAGAGAGAGAGAGAGAGAGAGAGAGAGAAATTATGTGCAATTTAGATATCTATCAAAAACACAAATAAGTTGCATTCCTGTGTAATAGAACACTACTGAGAATCTTCAACAGCCTTAGGATTTGAACTGATGGGATCTATCAAGGTATAAATAAAACTTTTTGTTTTTTAAATACTCTTCATAGTTAGCTTAGTTAGTGGGTGTTCTTGAATTCATTATAATCTTTGGTTTTGTTTGCATTTTTACAATTTTACAACTAAAACACCATCATTCAGAATTGATGGTGGAGGATGCTAAAGACACTGTCACATGGATTTCCAAGTTTGGCAAGGTTAAAAAACAATGTTAAAAGTTGTTGATGAAAAGAGTCTGACTCTAAACTTTCCTGAGGGCGCAGCTGTCCTTATGTGAATGCATAAATCATATTCAGAGGAACAACAGAAGCCATGGTGAAACATTACTGCTAGACCATCCCTGTGAGAAGTTCCCAGAGTGGCTAGGGCTGTGGAAATGGTTCAGTTGGTAAAACACTTGTCACATGAGCACAGAAAAAGAATTCAGATCCCTAGAGCCCTCATATAAATCTGGATGCAGTAGCACATGCTTATAATCCTAGCACTGGGATAACAGAAACAGGAGGATCCCTAAAGTTCACTGGCTACCAAGTGTAGCTGCATCGGTGAGCTACAGGTTCCCTGAGAGACCCTGCCTCAAAAAATCGTGTGGAGAGTGAGAGAAGAAGACATCTGACATTGACCTCTGGTTTTTACACACACAAACACAGGCACATGTGCACATGAACATGCACCACACTCATACAACATGCTATCCATGCTGTCCAGGTAAATCCAAACTTCAGGCATACAGAAAGGGGTGATAGGTTGTTAGGCATATCACCAATAGGAGAAAACTGAGGTCCCAGACTAGCTGATTGGTGGGTCTAACACTTGAACCCACAAGGTTTACTAATGGGAGATCTTGATGCCTTGGTTATTTGATCTTTACAGAACTCAACCCAGCCAGCCACTGACCAGCACCTCATTTTCCACCCATAGCTTAGGTCTATCTACCCAGGGCTCCATGCTCAGGCCCCACCCAGCACCCTCCCCGCCAGCACCTCTCACCAGAGCTCCTCAGCCTCTCTCTGTGCTTGCAGCCGTGCTCTCTCTGCAATCAGCTCCTCAGAGATCTCTTCATAGGGCTTGTCACCAGGGCCTTCACCCATGACCCACACCCAGACCTCGCCATCGGCTCCCAGCAGCCACTGGATGTGCTTGTTGCTTGCTGCCTCACAATGAAAGGAGAAACAGAGAGAAAAGAAGAAACATCTGGTTTCTAGTTAAAGAGCAAGATGAACTGGTACACAGCACATGCTCTATAGTTATCACACAACTCAACAGAGCAACAGTGGCTTCGGTGCAGATTCAAGACATTCCCTTACACCATCCCCTCTAGGGAGCAACTTAACAGCTGAGCCAGCATCGGAGGCTAGCGTCAGAGATGATCTCTCATGAGGTCGACATCAGCAAAAATATCAAGAGTTAGTGTGATACTCTGTATGCACTGACTTGTGCTTCTCCCAGGCTGAGGCAGTCAGGTGTCAGCGAGTCTTCTCTGCTCTCTCATTTTTCTATCCACTGACTAGAAAGAAGGAATCAAAAATGATAGAGTTGCAAGATGAAGCAGCCTGGAGCCTGGTGTTTCTGTGATATACATCATGCTGTAATTTGAACAAGAAATAAACCTTTGCTAGATGCCGCCCCCGAGAGCCCTTAGTTTGCCAATAACAGCAGTCTCCACTGATGACTGTGACTAGATCAGTGATGTTCCTCAGTGACAGGGTTGCCACAGCAATAGAAACCCTGCATCTGGCTTTAGCATCTGAGTGGTGAGTGATATCTAGCAGGCCAAACAGCTGGAGATCCATGCATGCAGAAACAAAACAGCTGTTAAAAAATGTCACAGACTCATTAGAGCTTAAAAGGCAGACCCTGTGTTTTCTGAATTGGGAAAATGAAATATTAGCAATGTGTATTGGATGCATTTGACAAGGTGTTAAGAGAAAAAAACTAAAACTCAAGAAGGAATCAAGTGTTTTGCAGGGAAAAGTGAAAGAGGATGGAGAGAATACAGAAATTTGGGGGGTGGAAAAAAAAAACTAGGTCCCAAATAATAAGAGATGTCTGTGATCCCAGTACTCTAGGTTGAGACAGGAGGATCATGAACTCCAGGGTAACTGGGCAATGTGGTGAGATTCTCTCTGTCTCGCTCTGTCTCTGTCTCTGTCTCTGTCTCTCTCTCTCTCTCTCTCTCTCTCTCTCTCTCACACACACACACACACACACACACACACACACACACACACACACAAACGCAAAAGGTGAAATTCTGAAGAGTTTTGCATAACAGAGCTCAGTCAGCTGTCTTCATGAATGAGATGCCCCAGAACACAAAGCACAGTGGCTGTGAGCATGCGCTCTCTACACTCCACTACAGCAGATGCCACTGAATAAAACCCCAGCCTCCAGGACCCTGTGTTTGATTATGGCTGTTTCCCAGAGGTTGCCCCAGTCTCTGACTGAGCATGCCAGGCTCATAACTGAGGCGTTTGACTCCTTGCCAAAACTTCCTGGCATTACACAGCTCTCTACAATAAGGCCCCCAGCCACCCTCTTTCTTTTACCCAAGGTTAAGTGAGAAATTTTTAAATGCATATGTAATGACATAATCGTACAATTTTTTTCATGATTAAAATGACTATATATGGTAAAACAACAGAATTATCTTTAGGGCTACAGTCACTGAGCCACTGCCCTAAAGGCTCAGTTGTCTGCCTTTCTTCTAGATGCATAGTTGATACAACAATGATCAGAGTGAAGAGGCAACCTACAGGGAGAGATAAAATTCTTGCAACCTATACACCCCATTAAGGGTTAGCAACCAAATACATAAGGAACTCAAGCAACACAGTATCAATAAAATAAATAATTCTGTTTCAAAATGGGTAAAGGGCTTGAATAGACAACTCTCAAAAGAATACATACAAATGGCCAGATGTGAGAGAAAACATTCAACCTCATTCATCATCAGAGTAGCTCAAGTCAAAACACTGTGGGATATCACTCCACACTTGTTAAAAGGGTAAGCAGCAAATATATAGAACTATAAATCTTGGGGGTAGGATCTAGAGCAGTGGTTCTCAACCTGTGGGTTATGACCCCTTTGGGGTGGGGAGGTTGAACAATTTTTTCACAGGGGTTTCATATCAGATATTTACATTACAATTCATAACAGTAGCAAATTTACAGTTATGAAATAACAAAGAAAATAATTTTATGGTTGGTGGTCACCACAATATGAGAAAATGTACTAAAGTGTTGCAGCATTAGGGAGGTTGAGAACCACTGGACCGGAGAGATGCTCAGTGGTTATGTGCTGCTCTTGCAGAGGACCTGGATTTCATTCCCAGCACCCAGATGACAGCTCATAACCATCTGGAACTCCAGTTCCAGGGTACCTAACACCCTATTCTGCCCTAGTGGGCACAGCACACATGTAGGCACAGATACAGGTCCATAGGTGAAACACCCATACACATAAAGCATTTATCTATCTATCTATCTATCTATCTATCTATCTATCTATCTATCATCTTTCAAGACATGGTTTCTCTGTGTAGTTCTGGCTATCCTGGGACTTGCTCTATAGACCAGGCTGGCCTTGAACTCACAGAGATCCACTTTCCTCTGCCTCCCAAGTGCTGGGATAAGGATGTGCACCACCACCACCTGGCACATTTTTTTTTTTTAAATAAAAGCTTGGGGGAGCATAGAAATCGAGGGACATTTGTACTCTTGTGTAAGAATGTGAATAAATGCAGCCATTATAGAAAACAGTACAGAAATTTCTCTGAAAACCAAAGCTAAAGGTGTCAACATGTATAATACATGCATATGTGTATATATCCAAAGGAAATTAAATCATTATGTCAAAGATGTCTGCACACACCTATTCATTATACACTATGCACAACTGACATTGAGTCAACCTGTGTCTACCAAGAGAAATGAACACATGCAAACAATTAAAAAATTAAGGAATGAATAAAGAAAATGTGATACCATATGTACCGTTGAACACTGTTTGGCCCTGGAAAAGTAGGAAATCATATCATTCTTAACCATATAGGTGAACATGGGGGGCACTGTGTTAAGTGAAAGTAGCCAGACACAGAAACACAAATATCATATAAACTTACCCATGTGTGGGATGTAACACGGTTATCAGAGAATGGGGGAAGGGATTGGAGATATGGGGGGATAAATGCATGGGTCTCTAGTTGCATATATGGGCAGCACTAACTGGACTTAACTGTTTATTTAAAAAACCAAACATGAAGTTAGAAAGGGATGTGTTTGGGGGCTGGAGAGATGGCTCAGAGGTTAAGAGCACTGGTTGTTCTTCCAGAGGTCATGAGTTCAGTTCCCAGCAACCACATGGTGGCTCAAAGCCATCTGTAATGAGATCTGGTGCCCTCTTCTGGCCTGCAGTCATACACACTGTATACATAATAAATAATAAATCTTTAAAAATAATAAATTTAAAAAATAATAAATAAATAAATAATAAATTTAAAAAAAATAAATTTAAAAAATAATAAATAAATCTTTAAAAAAAAAAAAGGATGTGTTTGGATGAAAGGAGGAGCTGGAGAAGACAAGAGGGATAGATGATAATATTTCATTGTATACATGTATGAAATCTCGAAAATAAAAATATTTAAAGCACATCTTTCTCATTAGTGTACAAATTTTATCTTATCTTTAAAAATGCAAAAACTTCATGTATATCAAAGACTTGTTTTAAAACACATTTCTCTATTATTTGAGAAAGGAAAAGGGGTTCTTGTATCTTCTGACTTCACCCTTTTATGATAGATAATTTTGGTTGATGTTTATTAAAAAATTATCCACATGCACTTGTGCTATGGGATGTCTTTCTGTATGCTGTGAATATGTGTTGCTCTGATTGTTTGATAAATAAAGTCCTTTGGCTTATGGCAGGGCAGGATGGAGCCATGTGGGAAAATCCAAGGGAGACGGTGAAAGGAAAAAGGAGAGGCAGGGGGAGATGCCATCCCACTGTCCAGGGAGCAGCATGTAATGGCACACAGGTAACGCCATGGAACATGTGGTAACTTACAGATTAACAGAAATGGACCATGTTATAAGAGCTAGCTAGCAAGAAGCTTGCCATAGGCCACACAATTGGTAATTAATATTAAACCTCTGAATGATTTTTTGTTTTTGTTTTTCGAGACAGGGTTTCTCTGTGTAGCTTTGCGCCTTTCCTGGAA